CACACTAAACAATCACAACTGATTACATAGACATTACTGAATTTATTAAGACTTTTATCAATAACTAATTTATATTTGCAACACATTCCTCTAATAATGACTCTTATTTTCTAAACGTTCTACATTTCTGTCTTTAACAGCGCAGATACAGGCGACTCTGAGCGCTTTAAAACACTTCGTTCTGTCACTCACTGTTCGCTCCTGAATTCAGACGTCAGTTTATAAACTTCAGGCCGACATGTTTTCCTTTTTAAGGGTTGTAGAAAATTCAGTCCACACGGACACTAAACCACAAAACCGCCTGTTTAAAATTCATCATGGTTGTGATGTCACAAACATTACATTTTAGCCTGAATTGTTTTTTTTAATGGAGCCCAACAGATGGTAGCCAATAAGAAAAGAGCTCATTTATTTACATCACTCTCAAAGACACAGTAACATAAAAAGCTTGTTTAATTGTAAAGAATTGAGGCTGGAAAATAGTGAATTGTGACTGTTTTTGGTTTATAAAAAACACAAACACTATAAGAAGAGCTAAAGCGAAATACTATTATATCAGTTTTATAACAGAGTCGTTACCACTTTCTGAACACTTACTGACGTCGAAGGCGTACAGCACGTTGCAGGCCCCCTCCGTGTCATTCCTGCCCCCCCAGATGTAGATGGTATCGTCTACCAGCACAGCCGTGTGACCATAGCGCATGTAGGGAACTTCTCGCGCGTGTTCTCTCCCTCCGGTTCTCACTGGAGGTAGTTTCATCCACCGCAGAGACACTGACGGACAAACAGAGCAATTAACCAGGACAATGCAGACACAATTAGCCTGAACGGTCAGCTCGACCAGTCAGCTCAACCTGTATCCACAGGAATCAAGAGAGCAGGATCAGTAATCAGGAGCAATACATCAAATAATGAGTAAAACATGTTCAATGTAAAATTTGTCCAGTGTTCCGTGTTCCAGTTTGCCCAGTTGTAGCCGATCAGTCAAGGCATGCTTAGTGTACAAAACCTGCTTCTTTAGTTTGGAGCTGGAACTACGAGGCTAACAATGCTAACAAACACTAGAAGTCAATAGTCACCCAAATCTTCTCTGTAAATACATCCCCAAAACATCTCTTAATCCACATGCAGGTCTTCATTGAGGTGGATCAGACTTGTAGACGTGATTTAGTGTGACTCGCTGTGAGATAAAAACATGAACAGAACTCTGCTGACACTTTACACAACAGGGTCCGTATTCAACCACCTACGGAGTCGGAGAGCTGATCTAGAACCTGTGTTTGTGACAGTCATAAATACAGAGGAACCTGGTCCTAGATCAGCCCACAGCTGTGGAGTTGTATGTTTGTAGCTCACAGTGAGTCACACTGCATCCTAAACCACATCTGCGCCACCTTAATGAAGACGTGGGGGAGTTTCACAGGGCAGGATTTATCAGTTTAGCCAGATAACTTGAGCCCAAAGTCAAGCCTTGGTGAATATTGTTTGTTAGCGACGTTAGCCTTATAGCCCCAGCGCTAAACTAAAGAAGCAAATGTGGACTCAGTGTCTTGGCTGATCGACCACATCAAGTTTGCTAAACCTGTTATTTCACTGAACTGCTCCTTTAATGATCCCAGGCTGGATGATTAAGGTTTGTTGTTTACATTCATCATTTTTCATGAGGAGTAAAATAGAGATAATCGATACAGATACTGATACTGAATATCGGTCCGATATCGTACTCATAAAAATTCGCAGATACCAGCTGATACTGTGTAGTGATACTGCAAGCCGAGTGTAGCTGCTGCGCTAATGAACAGACGCAGTGAAGGAGGATCTGCTCACACAGAGAAGAGTTACTGACTCCGTCACAGTCGGACACAAAGCCCTCGCTCACTTTAAGCATTCCGCCTTGGCAGATTCCCACCAGGATACACTGAGAGATTACAGACTGTTTATAAACACACAATCACAACCGCTTCCCCAACACGGGTGGAGACATGTAGGCCAACAAAACGGAGGAGAAAAAGTTGAGATTTCCTACCAAAGTCCATCTATATTGACTTTACCCAGTTCGACTGAATAGAATATCGAGGTATAAATATTAATATTATATAAACAGTGATGTTTTAAGCTGTCCTTGTAACTCAGTCTGTAGAGAGACCGAACTGTCCTACTGTGAACATCAGCGCCTGGTTTATCTTCAGCGCTCAGTGTTAGCAGCGCTGCTCAGCGTCTCAGCGTGTTGCTCAGTACTCGTGTTATTCTGAGTGAATCAGCTTTATTACAGTATCAGTACACAGTATCAGCTGGTATCAGTGAATTTATGAGTACGATATCGGACCGATATTCAGTATCTGTATCGATTCATCTCTAGTTTTCTAATTTCTAAAATCACACAGTGTCTGTCTGGCTCTTCTCCACCGCAGCGCTGAGATCACTAATGTAGTGTAGCTTGCTAACGCACTTCATTTACAATCAGACAGATTTAATGATTTAACTGTTAACGTTCATTACACTCATTTACACAAACAACTACTTCATTCTGAGTAGGGACTCGGATTTGGTATCGGACTCTGTATCGGTGACTAAGCCATACGGACTCGTACTCGGTCTGAAAACTGACATTGATGCATCTCTAGAATAAACATGTTCATGAAGTTCTACTCTCGAGCCCCTCACAGTTACAGGTGCGGCAGAACGTACAGCGCAAACGCGTCTCGCACGTCATCTGACAGTAATATGATCAACATTACACTTGAAAATCAAACGCAATAAATCACTTAACAATAAATGAATACTTTAAAATTGTAATGTACTGAAATGTTACTAATTATGTGACTATAATCCAGTAATGTAAGCAGCCACAAACCCACCCATTTCCCATCAGCCCCCTAACGGCAGGTGTATCTGTATATCCGCAGCTCACCTGTGTTGAAGACGTGAACGTCGATCTGCCGAAAGGTTTCGTAATCCTCCCCGGAGCAGTACCCGCCGAAAGAGTAGACCTTGTGGCCCACGGCGACGGCGGCATGGTTCACCCTGCGCGGGCCGCCCTCCAGGTGCACCGTCCAGCGCAACATCCCCCACCGTCCACCTCACAGCTTACAGCATCACCGCCGTGCCGCAACAATCTCCATCAGGCTTTACTGACCGGCACAGAGCTGGACACAACAAACAACAGCGAGACTAATAAACACCCCCTATCATACATACATAATAAAAATTAGAAGAATTATTATCCTTTATTTATATTACTATCACCTATCAGCTAACGACAAACAGCACTCGCGCTTTTTTTAAACAGTCAACCTGCTGCTTCACATCAACAAACAGTTTTACTTCATTTTAGTTCACTTTTAATATGATTTTGGAACAATTTAGCTTTTGTTTCACTTTTATTTTTTATTTATTTTATTACTGTCAAGTTATTGTTTTACATATTTACAATTTTTGATCAATTTATTATGTGACTATATTGTTGCATTTAATGGTTTATTGCTTTTTTTCCTTTAGTTTTACCATTATAATTATTATTATTACAGTTGTATAGCATTTGATATCCAATTTTTTCAAATCCTGTTTTCTGTTTTAGCCTGACTACACTGTAAATTGATTGATTGATTGACTGATTGATTGATTATTATGACTGTAGAGCTACTTCAGCAGCTTTCTTTAGCTCCATATACAAACCTGCAGTAGAAACCTGGGTGTGATCTGAGATTCTGAGCTCTGTTTAATCTGCATGTAAATACAGTCATTAAAGCAGCTTTTTTTCACGTGAGAAAATCACTAAAGTTCAGCCTTTTCTCTCTCAGAGCAAAGCAGAGGAACTTGTAGCTGTGTTTGTTCAGCAGAGTTGATCACTGTAATGATCTTACTGGAGAAAACAGTCCATCCTCTAGAACCCATACAGAACACAGCAGCACGGATCCTCACAGCACCAACACAGAGAGCTCACAGCACCCCGTTACACACTGCACCCCGTTACACACTGCACTGACCGCCTGGATCTGGAGAGTTTAAAGCTCTGCTGCTGGTTTTTAAAGCTCTAAATGACCTTAAAGCTCCTGACCGTCTGTTTATGATCTTAGATCAGCAGATTCTGACCTTCTGAACTCCTTCAGTAAAACACAGAAAACGTGGAGAGACTCTTTCAGTTATTCTGCTTCTAAACTGTGGAGCTCAGTTCAGCTTTTATTAGACAGTCGAGCTCAGAGCTCACTTTTAATAAACATCTGAAAACGCAGCTCTTTAACGCAGAGCTTCAGTAAAACTCTACTTTATCTCTTTAATCTGATCTGTTATTGATTTATATGATTTTATATTTATATATGAGTTTCTTCTGTTACTGTTAAGCTTTATCAGCTGACTGTAAAGCACTCTGAGCTGCCACCGATATGAAGTGTTCTATAAATAAAGATATTACTGTACTGTAATACGCTCATACTTTCAGTTTTTAACACCGTTTAAAATCTTATTCATGGTCACTGGTAATTAAGATCTACCAGTCACTGAGAGAGAAAACAGATCTTGATCATTTCAGCTGTGCTCAAACCCAAAAACAGCTTCCTCATCATGAAAACACCCACTGAGGCTGAGACCCCAGCGTTTTAACACTGCAGACCCAGAACAGACAAAACGAATCAAATCTTTCTTATCATAGTCAGTCAGAGACGCCACCGAGCGCCCTCACTGTTCCTCTGCCCTCTGAGGCTCGGTGTCTTTATAAAAATAACCCACACATAGTTATTCCATACAAAGAACTCTATTTCAGGCACAGCATCCAAATGAACACCACACACACACCCACATCCACACACACACACACACACACACCCACATCCACACACACACACACACACATCCACACACACTCACTCAGACATTTTACAGACTCTCTGAGGAGAATTCTGCAGAGTGAGTTACAGAATGTACTGACGGAGAAGCTACAGACAGAGTTCTGTCACTATCCTCCTACAAAGAACTCTATCTAGCACCTTATACAGTGGTGCTAAAAACAGACTTATCAAACTTATCAAAAAGGGTCCGATATAGAGCTTATATCTCTAAAAATGCTGAAATTAAGTCACAGACTGTGTTCCGTCACTAATATGTGCATCTGTATTTCAACACAGACACTTTTCCCCTCCTAACACTCGAACCTGTTTCAGTATCAGCCACCGCCGCCGTCACTGTCACGGTCAGTTCAGCTGGACATCAGTCTAAACAGAGGAACGAAGCTGATATTGGTCTCTTATTCGAGCAGGTTCTTGTTCGAATGTTTCAGTTCCACCTTAAATAGTGCAGCAGTCACTGTCTGGCGCCTGAGCCGTTGTAGTAATAACCACTGCACCGTTTAAGATGGACCGGAAAAATTCGACTAAGACAACTAATAATAACTAGTAATCTGACGATAATGTTACTGAGGCTGAACTGAGATCAGTGGATTTTCTCTAAATGAGCCCGAAGCTAAACTTAAACTGACTTCAAATCACTCAGTAGCGAAAACAGCTAGCTAGCGTTAGCAAACGTTAGCAGGAAAGATAATAAACATTCAGATTCAGCCGGTCTTACAAACCCGCCGGTCGGCTGTCTGACCTCAAACACAGCCCTACGCACATATTATTATTTTAATACTGAGTATTATTCGCTGTTTGTCCATTTCCCTCAGATATTCGTCAGTCTAACTCATCAGCTCCTGCATTAGCTTAGCTTAGCTTAGCTTCAGAACCCAGTTAGCCTCATAGCTGATCTGTAGAGAAGCTAAATTCATAATTAACTGTCTACCGTCAGTTTTCACGTCTGAAACATGAATATTACATCTTAATATTCCATATTAAATCACTGACACTCAGATTTACCTTCATCCTGTTTTCTATCCGAGCCGAAATCAGAGCAGAGCAAAGCAGCTGCGCTTATTTACTCTCCAACAGGTCAGGGGTCAGAGAGAGGGACCAGGGGAGAGGGAATAGAGGATAGGGAGGAGGGACCAGGGGATAGGGAGGAGGGACTAGGGGATAGAGAAGAGGGACCAGGGGATAGGGAGGAGGGACCAGGGGATAGGGAGGAAGGACCAGGGGATAGGGAGGAGGGACCAGGGGAGAGGGAATAGGTAATAAGGACTAGAGGATAAGGACTAGGGGATAGCTAAGAGAAACTCCCTATGAGACTGGGGATAGGGAGGAGGGAGTAGGGGAGAGGGAATAGGGGATAGGGAGGAGGGAGTAGGGGAGAGGGAATAAGGGATAGGGAGGAGGGAGTAGGGGAGAGGGAATAGGGGATAGGGAGGAGGGAGTAGGGGAGAGGGAATAAGGGATAGGGAGGAGGGAGTAGGGGAGAGGGAATAGGGGATAGGGAGGAGAGACCAGGGGAGAGGGAAGAAGATTTAACATTTAGCGGTTATGGATTTGGTTTAGGGGTCAGAGGATATTTAGGGTTTAGAGTTTAAGAATTAGAGGATATGGTTTTGGTTTTGGTTTAGGGATTCGGGTTCAGGGTTTAGGAACTGGATATTAGATTTAAGGGTTAGTGGTTAGGGTTTAGGGGATGAGGTTATTATATTTATTACATGTAAATAAACAATTGTTTACAACGCCACATAGGCGAGCAGATGGTATACTGTATTTATTTATTTTATATTTTTAACATTTGTATTTTAAAACAAATATATGAGTCTGAATAAATATATAAAGTAGTCAGTTGGACCGGCGTGTAATCCCCGCCCACTCCGACGCACCGAGGCGCTGAATTAAATTTGTTTTATATGAATTTGTGAAATTCAATGAAATTTTCGGCTTTTATATGAAATATTTAACTTCATCATGTCTTTATGAACTGATGAAGGGCAGGTTTAAAGGACGGTCAGGTCAGGTAGCTCCATCGATTAGCCAGCACGTTTGAGCAAACATGATGCAGATTTATATTACCAGAGAACTTGTTGAGAGGAGAATTACACTCTGCCATGTCTTCCGGGTTTCTCGAACGCTAGAGGGCGCTCCCGAGTGAGTCCAAAATGAATGGGCTGATATGGAGCATTTAAGCAAAATCATAGTTTATAAATGCTGAAACATTTTTAATGTAAAATAATACATTCATTTCCTGAACACAGAACAGCATAAAACATTTTAACATTGCTGTTATATTTTTAAGATGTTTTAAACTCAAATTATAGGAGTTTAAAACGGCGCCTCATGTACATTCATGACGTCAGTGAGCCCGAACAGCCAATGAGCTGCTCTGCTCGTCAACCAATCAGCGCTCAGTAGCAGTAATGCCAACCAATCAGCTCTCAGTAGCAGTAACGCTAACCAATCAGCTCTCAGTAGCAGTAACGCTAACCAATCAGTACTCAGTAGCAGTAATGCTAACCAATCAGCACTCAGTAGCAGTAACGGTTACCAATCAGCTCTCAGTAGCAGTAATGCTAACCAATCATCTCTCAGTAGCAGTAACTCTCACCAATCAGCTCTCAGTAGCAGTAACGCTAACCAATCAGCTCTCCGTAGGAGTAACGCCAACCAATCAGCTCTCAGTAGCAGTAACGCTCACCAATCAGCTCTCAGTAGCAGTAACGCTAACCAATCAGCGCTCAGTATCAGTAATGTTAACCAATCAGCTTTCAGTATCAGTAATGTTAACCAATCAGCTCTCAGTAGCAGTAATGCTCACCAATCAGCGCTCAGTAGCAGTAACGCTAACCAATCAGCGCTCAGTATCAGTAATGTTAACCAATCAGCTCTCAGTAGCAGTAACGCTAACCAATCAGGTCTCAGTATCAGTAATGTCAACCAATCAGTAACGCTCACCAATCAGCGCTCGGTATCAGTAATGTTAACCAATCAGCTCTCAGTAGCAGTACGCTAACCAATCAGCTCTCAGTAGCAGTAACGCTAACCAATCAGGTCTCAGTATCAGTAATGTCAACCAATCAGTAACGCTCACCAATCAGCGCTCGGTATCAGTAATGTTAACCAATCAGCTCTCAGTAGCAGTACGCTAACCAATCAGCTCTCAGTAGCAGTAACGCTAACCAATCAGCTCTCAGTAAAACGATTTTACTGTTTAATTTTTAGCCGTTTAGCTTCATTCACTCCCATTCACTGAGGACTCACAGGCGCCCTCTGCTGTTCATCAGTCCTGTTTTGATATAACAGGGGAAACAGGAAGTGACCAGACTCCTCATAAACCGGCTCTGATGTTACTGCACCCATCATCTACTGAAACGCCTCAGCGCAGAGAACACTGGGAAATTACTGAAATTGTGTGATGGAGCCCCCCAGTGGATGGAACGGTGTAAAGCAGCCTTAATGTCAGTGCAGAGAGCCATAAAAACCAGAGATCAGAGATCAGATCATCGGTGATGCCGTCCAATCAGCAGGACCCTCAGCAGCATCTGTTACACTCCCTACGCTGGTGATTGGTGTGGTCAGTGTGGTCAGCCTGATTGGTGTGGTCAGTCTGATTGGTTTGATCAGTCTGTTTGGTGTGGTCAGTGTGGTCAGTCTGTTTGGTGTGGTCAGTGTGGTCAGTCTGATTGGTGTAGTCAGTGTGGTCAGTGTGGTCATTGTGTGTTGTCCTTATAGCTCTTATTACTATTGTAGTGTTATTGTTTTGATGTCCGGTGCTGATGGGTTCTGCGTTTTGTTCTGAGAGTTTAGACGCAAATAAATAAATAAAACTGACTGAACTTTAATCTGTTCATTTATTTATGTATTTATTTATTTATTTAATGAGAACAAAAACAGCATGTGTGTGTGTGTGTGTTAGTGTGTGTGTGTGTGTTAGTGTGTGTGTGTGTGTGTGTGTTTGTGTGTGTTTGTGTGTGTTAGTGTGTGTGTGTGTGTTAGTGTGTGTGTGTGTGTGTTTGTGTGTGTTTGTGTGTGTTAGTGTGTGTGTGTGTGTTAGTGTGTTTGTGTGTGTGTGTGTGTGTTAGTGTGTGTGTGTGTGTGTCTGTGTGTGTGTATGTGTTAGTGTGTGTGTGTGTGTCTGTGTGTGTGTGTGTGTGTGTGTGTGTCTCTGTGTGTGTGTGTGTGTGTTAGTGTGTGTGTCTCTGTGTGTGTGTCTGTGTGTGTGTGTGTGTGTGTGTGTGTGTGTTAGTGTGTGTGTCTCTGTGTGTGTGTCTCTGTGTGTGTGTGTGTGTGTGTGTGTGTGTTAGTGTGTGTGTCTCTGTGTGTGTGTCTCTGTGTGTGTGTGTGTGTGTGTGTGTGTGTTAGTGTGTGTGTCTCTGTGTGTGTGTCTCTGTGTGTGTGTGTGTGTGTGTGTGCAATTACAGGGTTATTGGTAATCAAAGAAAAAGAAAAGGAAAAAAAGAGTCAAGACAAATTTCAGGTTATATAATAATCAATAATAATCACTATCAGTTCTTTGTTTGTTCTCACTGGTGGTCACGTATCTGTGTGTGATCAGCTCTTCTCTCCCAACACGTACGGCAGTTTCTCAGAGTCACTGCAGAGCTGAAACTCAGGACAGACGCTGCTCACCTTCCCATAGAACTCCTTTCTAATGGAGTCGTATCTCGAGCAGCTCTGTGAGGAAGTGCAGCTCCGTCTCCACCACTGAGACTCGCAGTGAGAGCACAGACTGGCCTCTCTGAGTGACCAGCTCTGTCTGAGAGCTCACAGTGAGAGCACAGTCTGGCCTCTCTGGGTAACCAGCTCTGTCTGAGAGCTCACAGTGAGAGCACAGTCTTGCCTCTCTGGGTAACCAGCTCTGTCTGAGAGCTCACAGTGAGAGCACAGTCTGGCCTCTCTGAGTGACCAGCTCTGTCTGAGAGCTCACAGTGAGAGCACAGTCTGGCCTCTCTGAGTGACCAGCTCTGTCTGAGAGCTCACAGTGAGAGCACAGTCTGGCCTCTCTGGGTAACCAGCTCTGTCTGAGAGCTCACAGTGAGAGCACAGTCTGGCCTCTCTGGGTAACCAGCTCTGTCTGAGAGCTCACAGTGAGAGCACAGTCTGGCCTCTCTGGGTGACCAGCTCTGTCTGAGAGCTCACAGTGAGAGCACAGTCTGGCCTCTCTGAGTGACCAGCTCTGTCTGAGAGCTCACAGTGAGAGCACAGTCTGGCCTCTCTGAGTGACCAGCTCTGTCTGAGAGCTCACAGTGAGAGCACAGTCTGGCCTCTCTGGGTGACCAGCTCTGTCTGAGAGCTCACAGTGAGAGCACAGTCTGGCCTCTCTGGGTGACCAGCTCTGTCTGAGAGCTCACAGTGAGAGCACAGTCTGGCCTCTCTGAGTGACCAGCTCTGTCTGAGAGCTCACAGTGAGAGCACAGTCTGGCCTCTCTGAGTGACCAGCTCTGTCTGAGAGCTCACAGTGAGAGCACAGTCTGGCCTCTCTGGGTAACCAGCTCTGTCTGAGAGCTCACAGTGAGAGCACAGTCTGGCCTCTCTGGGTAACCAGCTCTGTCTGAGAGCTCGCAGTGAGAGCACAGTCTGGCCTCTCTGGGTGACCAGCTCTGTCTGTGCCGGCCAGTTTCGATGGCCAGGCTGTGCTCACTGAGTCTGTACATGGTCAGCACTCTCCTCAGTTGTCTGTCTGTAATTGCTGTGAGGTGCGGTGCTGAAGTATAATCTCGATTTAGGGCCGAATAGCACTGAAGCTTGTGCTGTTGATGTGTGGTCTCAGTCCAGTGGGTGATGTAGTTTTGTTTTTGTTTGGTGATAATCTGATTGGGTCTGATTTTCTGGGCAAGCGTGTGGTCAGATTGTGATTGGTATTTCAAATTTGATTGAATTTTAAGAGCAAAAAGAGCCCCTTCAGAGTCAAAACTTCCTGTGGAGCTAATAGTAATGCCCAGATAAGTGTATGTTTTAGATTGTTTGATGTCGGTGTTGTCAATTGTGTAAATATAATTCCCTTCATTTTTAGACCTCTTTTGAAAAATTACTATTTTGGTTTTTTGATGGTTTATTTTCAAAGCCCAATTTTTACAGAAGTTGTCCAAGATTTCTGAACTTTGTTGAAGCCCCTCTCTGGTAGGTGACAGCAGGACGAGGTC